ACTTGTTCTTAAACAATGGAGAAAAATATACATTTTTTTTTTTTAGCATCTTGAAGTAGGCCAATGTATGCCCTGGTTGTTATTTAACATGTTTGTTAGCTAATGTTTTGTCAATTGAAAAGACTGGTAACACCATAAATTATTTAAAATTAGCTTACAGGAGAGGGCGGGAGGGAAAGACTCAGAGAGGAGAAGTGGTGTGTGTCTATGTCAGCAGGGAGGGGCAGTGTTTAGTCTGTTTTTGAAAGGCTTTTCCCCAAAACACAAGGTTTCCCCCAGGATGTCTTCCTCCTCCACTGAACATCAATGAAATTGACTGCAGAGAGTAACAAGGTTTATTAGTCTCTCTTCCCCTCATCCATTTGTAACTTTACAGATCTGTTCTGTTTGCAGAATGAACTAATAGCAACAACAACCAAAACCCAACGTCACTAATAATAATCCCTTTTGCTGAACTCTGGAGAAGCAGTTTGGTCAAAACTTTGCTTGCCAAACACTGACCAACAACTGTTCCCAGCTGCCAGCAATTATGCTCTGTAAGCCTTTAAATACACTAAGCTTCTACCAATGTTTTTCATGAAATCGACAGTGTTCTGGCTCTCTTTCACTTTTCAAAACATTTTATGTTCCAGGAAGGACAAACAAACCCCACCTCCTCCCAAAAAGGTGGAGTTAATGGCACTTGAAATCAACAGCAGTTCTGCTACTGAAGCAATATCTGCCTCACTCACAAAAATGAAGAACTAATATCACAGCTATGTACTATTCACAGTATTTTAGAGTAAAATAACAGCTTTTATATTAAGGACTCATGGAGGATCAATGCTATAGAGCCCCTTATGTAAGTCAGTAGCAGTAGGATTTCATTGAACAGCCTAGCATACGCACTCTCAACATCCACATAAACACATAAATAACAAAAAGACTTTGTACTTGTACTGTGCTTTTCCTCTTCAAAGACCTTCATAAATAATACCTAATCCTCATGACACCCCAAAAGGTAAGAAAATGCCTATTATCCCCAATTTTACAGATGGAGAATTGGAGGCACAGACTTGACCAAAGAGGGAATAAATATCACAGCCAGGATTGCCTGGAATTCCTGATTCCCAGTCAGATACTTAATCTACTGGTCCATACCTGTGCACCTATGGTAAATTACAGTGTCCAGGGCTGGGGTTGGGGCCCTGGAGGAGGTCAGGGGTGCAGGCTCCGGGCGGCACTTACCTCAAGCAGCTCCCAGAAGCAGCAGCATGTCCCCCGTCCGGCTCCTACGCGCAGGGCCGGCTCCAGTGTTTTTGCCGCTCCAAGTGGCAAACCCTCCCCCCCACCCCCCACAAAAAACCCAACCATCAGCAGCACTTCGGCAGCAGCTTCATTCTTCGGCGGCGGGCCCTTCCTTCCGAGAGGGACCGAGGGACCTGCCGCCGAATTGCCACCAAAGAGCCAGACGTGCCACCCCTTTCTGTTGGCCGCCCCAAGCACCTGCTTCCTGTGCTGGTGCCTGGAGTCAGCCCTGCCTATGCGGAGGCATGGCCAAGTGGCTCTGCGCCAATGGGAGCTGCGGGGGCAGCGCTTGGGGCAGGGGCAGCACACAGAGCCTCTTGGCTACCCCTACACTTAGGAGCCAGAGGGGGGACATGCTGGCTGCTTCCCGGGAGCCGCGTGGTGCGGAGGCTACCAGGGAGCCTGCCAGCCCCCCTGCACAGCACCACCAACTGAACAGTCAACAGCCCGGTCAGACTGGGGGTTCTGGTCAAAAACCGTCCACCTGGTCACCCTAAGACAACTCCATGCAAGCCTGGGACCAAGGAGCAGGCTGTTTCTCCCTCTGGCTCCCTGGGGTTTGGGTGGGTGGGGGGAGGGAGGGAGGGAGCGGTGCAGGTGTCTGGGCTGGGGGGACCACAGCTGGGCTCTGGGGGCAAGAGGGAGCGGGTATATGGGTCGGGGTGTGTGTGTGTGTGTGTGTGCGCCCGCA